CACACACAAAAAACACGAAGAATAAAAAATATATATAAAACCTTTCAAACCAACAAGCACACAAAATAATGAAATTCTCTCACACAAACTTAAAATAACCTCTATTAGTTAAAAAAAAAATAATGCCAAAAGACTTGATTACAATTCCCCCGCGAGGTCCCTACGGGCACCCCAGTCAATGTAAACATAGCGACTAACGCGACATGTTAAAAGTCAGAGAGGAGCAGGAGCACCTCCAAGAATGTTAATGTCAATGAGGTGTGTGGAACCTGTCCTCAATCTACAGAGGTTATTTTAAAATATTCTTATTTTAAGAGAAACAACCAAACACTCACGTGCTGTCGAACCCTTTATAAATTGTTGCTCATATGTAGGGCCTACAAGTCCTGCTACCATATCCAGCGAGCTGGATATGGTAGCTTACTCTTCGGCATCTGCTCTTTCATTACTTGAAAACCAACATGTCCTGGGAACCAACACAACCCTCTCAAGAAGTCTAGGAGTTATAACAAAGATATGGGCTAACTACTCTTGGATTTTCTGAACCACGGTGTTGGAAGAAGTATACTGAGCCAGGGACAACAGAACGCACTAGGAGTCAGATTAGATAAACCGGGACTATCAGAATACAAACTTTCAATGGTAATCACCAAAAAAGTTGACTTCACCAGTTCGTCACTTGAGCCCGGCAACTAGGGGGCCCTAGCCACCTCTGGCACTTTATCAGGGAGGGAAGAGGAAGAACCCAACCTCCCTGACCACAGACACACAGGCCAAATTCCACAAGGGCATTAACTCCAAACATGAAATATCATATGTTTGGTGGGCAGAGGTTCCCCTCCTCCCACTTTCCTATGAAAACTGTAGCAGGGTCCTGGTTACTAGGTATATGCAGACCCATCTGGTAAGAGAACCAGAGGAAGCTAGCCAGAGTATACTTTTATATACATGTGAAAGGTTTTGAGAGTTTTCTTACTGCAACACGGCACTGGGTTAGGCTTGTCTGATGCTTGCCTGGTCAACCAGGCTGTTGATACTGACAGCCCACTGACCCACATAACTCCACATCCTGGTCGATCTGGCACTTGGCAGAGGTACTTGTCAAATATCACAACACAAATGATTTTTTCTCCCTTTTCTCTAACTCCAGAACGTAATTATGGTTGTATGTAGATTTGGGACTAAGCCTTCGAGTGTCTTCCACGTTTATATTATCATGCATCTCTCCTTCACTCCACAGCATACATATTTAGGACTTTGAGGCATTCCCAGTAATGTAAATTCTTTATTGACTATATGGGCCATAAATGATCTTTGTATCTGCTCCAGTTCTGATATTTCTCCTGCCCTGAACAGAACCGTTAACACTGAACAGTACTCTTAGCAAGAAGGCACCAGTGATTTTCATGCTTATTTGGTGCCATCCGCAAAGGATGATACAAGTGACGAGTTTTTTTTTATCTGTCTGCCATGAGGATGTGGAACAGTATAGGCACCAGGACCGTACCTTGGAGTATTAAGTTTTTTATTTTGACAATGCTAGATTTTTCTCTCTTTAGTATAACTCTGTATATTCTATTTATCAAAAAACTGAATATATATTACCTACTTTCTCCGTTATACCTTTAAGCTTCATTTTATATGCAATCTCTCCATGATCGCATTTGTCAAATGCCTTCACGAAACTTGTGTAGATCACATCTCCATTTTGGTTTTCTTCCAGCGAATCTGTAATCTTGACATAATGGTTTAGTAGACAGGTATCATGTCCACTCTGGTTCGGGTTGTGCAGGTCATATGCTTCTAGAAAAGATGGATGTTTGGACTGAACCAGTATAAAGCCAAATCCCCAGGTGAGAAAGAGTATCAGGGCATCATAAAGAGAAGATCAGGCAGCCATAACTTCATAATGGAGTATTGGTCAGTCCGTGACATGGATTGAACATGATTCCACTGTCATGATCTAAGTTGTAGCTGCCGAGTCGACCGCAATTAAGAATTAATAGATATGGGAATTAAACAAATCCATAAAAAAGATAAATCGAAATGTGCAGCTACAGTTAAAAACCAAGATTATTTTTATAAATAAGCCTCAAAACCTGGCGTATAGATTTTACAAAACATATAGAAATTGAAAAAAAACTGGGAAAACTAATGAAGATAGGGAGGGGAGGGGGAAAAGGGAAAGTAAACTGAGGGTGGGGGAAAGAAGTTACTTCAAGGTTTATCCGAGTTGTACCTCCAGTCACTTAACATCTGGGTATAATTTGCTCACAAGTGATGCATGATCCCAGTATTATTCATTCAGACACAAAGATTACTAAGCGAAAATGTGTTAAATGACTGACAAAAACATGATACAAATATAATATGAAAAGATTAATCATTTATTTATTATGAAAGAATAATAGAATAAGATTACCCAATAATAATCTAGATTGAAGCCTGTGGACCTGGATTAACAGCCCATCGCCTAAGCAATCGATAAATCCATTGGTATACCTCATTCGTTTATAAAGAATTTTCAGCCCAAGAAGACATACGTTCGCGTTAATGAAACGTTTTTTACTCTCCCCTAATTAATAACTTTAAGAATAACTACTTCAGAAGTACATGATGCTAACATATTTATGTCTCCTACCAGGAATACGAGGTACAGTGAGGATCAGAAAGTGGAGTGTACATGATTTCCCGTCTGCAGACATCCTAGCGGGGCTCTCCAGCTCAAGGGTGACCGTCAAGGTTGAGTACCAGGTAGTGGGCGAGGTGGGGTACTCAGCAGCAACAGAGGGACAGCTGAAGAAGGAGACTTTTGTGGTGAAGACTGTCCCCTCACAGGGCTACATGGTGTACGTTAGCCAAGCACATACATGTTTTACTCACACTTTCCCACTCTCTTCCCTATCATTTTCTTTCAAACTTTCTCCTGCTCTGACTCGACTCTCCTTCCCATGCTACTCCTCTCTTTTGCCTGCTTGACATTCTTCCTGACTCCTCCTCTTCCTCTTCATGATACTAAAAGGTTTCTTTTATTCTGGGTAACTGCACAAGTTGAGTGGATGTCACTCTTGGGTTGGTTCAGTGATGTCACGATGTGTCAAACGCTTGCTACAGTCCTCCTTTAATTGTTTTACTTTGTTTCTGTTGAGCTTATTTTGTTGAGTCTTCAGGTATCGTCCACCTTTGCTTGAATGTTCTACTTCCCAAAATGTTTTCAGAGGTATGAGGGATTTTGTTGGTGTCAAGATCGTGTCTGAGGATAATTCTCTCATTTTTATTTTACAACAAGGTAACAAAATATATTATAGTGTCTGAGGTCTGACAGTGAATGCTAATGTGATGTAAAGTTTATTTTCTATGGTACATAGTATTATGTTATGAACAGTTTCAACATCTACAGGAAAACTCTTGGTTATACATTGTATTTCGGGCAGATGCATTACATTTCATGTTTAACTGTTTATCTATGCTTCCGTCTTTCCTTGTCTCCCTCGTGTTTCCATCCTGCTCACAGCCATAGCTTAAAAAGTTCAACGAGGAGGACGTTGTTGAAATTGAGGACGAGGATGAAGTGTGGGATACGAGGATGAATTAGACAATAAGGAAGTGGATGGCGAAGTGGAGAACGAGAATGTGAGTGATGAGTAAGAGGAGGAAAACGTAGACGTCGACAAAATGAAAAACTAGAAATGGGAAGAGGAACAGAAGAATGATTAAAAGTTTTAAAGAAAAGATATAGGTTAATTTTAACTTTTCGATGAGAGACTGCTGAAAAACACCCTCTAGAAAAACTTTACCCAAAACTCTAATGACTATGAGGCTGGAAACCAGGATGAGAACGAGATGTATAAAGTGGCAGGAGGTGGAGGAAGAGTGGCAGGAAGTGGAGGAAGAGTGGCAGGAGGTGGAGGAAGAGTGGCAAGAAGTTGAGGAAGAGTGGCAGGAAGTGGAGGAAGAGTGGCAGGAAGTTGAGGAAGAGTGGCAGGAAGTGGAGGAAGAGTGGCAGGAAGTGGAGAAAGAGTGGCAGGAGGTGGAGGAAGAGTGACAGGAGGTGGAAGAAGAGTGGCAGGAAGTGGAGCAAGAGTGGCAGGAGTGGACGAAGAGTGGCAGGAGGTGGACGAAGAATAACAGGAGGTGGACGAAGAGTGGCAGGAGATGGACGAAGAATAACATGAGATGGAGGAAGAGTGACAGGAGGTGGAGGAAGAGTGGCAGGAGGTAGAGGAAGAGTGGCAGGTAGGTGTGATGGAAAGAGTGGCATGAATGGAGTGGAGGAAAGAGTGGCAGGAGGTGGAGAGGAATGAAGTGGCGAGGGAGGTGGAGGAAGAGTGGCATGAAGTGGAGGAAGAGTGGAAGAAGGTGGAGGAAGAGTTGCAGGAGGTGGAAGAAGAGTGGCAGGAGGTGGAGGAAGAGTGGCAGGAGGTAGAGGAAGAGTGGCAGGAGGTGGAGGAAGAGTGGCATGAAGTGGAGGAAGAGTGGAAGAAGGTGAAGGAAGAGTGGCAGGAGGTGGAGGAAGAGTGGCAGGAGGTGGAGGAAGAGTGGCAGGAAGTGGAGGAAGAGTGGAAGGAAATGGAGGAAGAGTGGAAGAAGGTGGAGGAAGAGTTGGGGAGGTGGAGGAAGAGTGGCAGGAGTGGTGAGGAAGAGTGGCAGGAGGTGGAGGAAGAGTGGCAGGAGGTGGAACAAAAGTTACAGGAGGTGGAGGAAGAGTGGCAGGAGGTGGAGGAAGAGTGGCAGGAGGTGGAGGGAATATAGGAGTAGGTGGAAGTTTAGCAGTAGAAGTACAGATGACATCATAAAAGATGTATAGAAAGAGGTGGAAGATACGACACAGAAATGACTTGTTACTGAAATACGACACTGGAACGACTCGTTTCAAAAACACGACACAGGAATGACTTTTCTGGATTACGACACAGGAATAACTTTTCTGGATTACGACACAGGAATGACTTTTCTGGATTATGACATAGGAATTACTTTTTTTGGTTTACGAGACAAGAATGACTTTTCTGGATGACCCACGTCACCCCACTTGTAGGGATCTGTTGACATCTGAAGGGATGCACCACATCGAGGTGGGCCAATACGGGCGGTTCTTGCGGGCGCTGGGAGCGTGGGAGGCAGAGCGGCGGGGAGTGGGCGTGGTGGCTGAGATAGTGCCCTCGCATGCCCTCTCAGTCAGCAACCACCATCACTTCACCCTCGTTCTACCAGACCTCACACAACTTGGCTACCAGGTAAGTGTATATACAGTAAACAGAGTCCAGGTGAAGTGTATGTTGCATATTCCTATGATGCGACACCTCTCTTAGCAACACACAAACAAGTGCTTTCCTTGACTCCTCTTCCTATTCCTCTGAAGATACGTGTGTAAGAGCTCAGATATTCATGTATTTTTTTAAATTTTTTTCATCCCCCAAGTTACCAACTTGATACTATCATTACCAATTTGCTACCGGAAATAATTTGCTGTCTTATAACTAACAATCGCCATTACAAGACAATCAAAAGAATTCAAAGTTTGTTAACCGCATTCCACAAGCCATATTCCTCATTAGTTTAAAGTCACTGGCCATAAGTTACAGCAAATTTTAACGAAAGGAGAAATATATTCATTATTTATTCTATAAAGATGAGAGAGGAAGCCTCCCCTCCACTCTCAGAAAGCCTTGTGCAACCTCACCACCATGGTGAGGCAAACTGACACGGGAAGCAAGCCGGGGAATACAAATAAGACTGACCATACCCCCGGCCGGGATTGAACCCGCGGTCATAGAGTCTCAAAACTCCAGCCCGTCGCGTTAGCCACTAGACCAGCTAGCCACAATAAGATTCATCCAACTAGGTATATTTCTACACCATAGGACTTGAGCTAGAGTTCGTCACGGCCACGCTAGCTGGAGATTCGTCTGTAAAAACTTGCATTTGTGGTCACAGAGGTGCCTGTGCTAACTTTCCTATGGTGTAGAAATATACCTAGTTGGATGAATCTTATTGTGGCTAGCTGGTCTAGTGGCTAACGCGACGGGCTGGAGTTTTGAGACTATGACCGCGGGTTCAATCCCGGCCGGGGGTATGGTTTGTTTGCAATCGTGTCATTACGATTTCTTAAGTCAAATAAGACTGGTTGGTTAATTTGGTTTAAAGTATCTTAACTACGGTCGTTAAGGATTCATGTAACCTCTTTATCACTAAGGACATTTCAATCCTAATCCCGTTACAGCCGGGAAGAAATAATCCATCGTGTCGTCACGGTGAGGGAGAAAACTAAGGTTTATTTCGTGGCCATCAGACGAGGCTACTGGAGGAGGGTCTGTCAGGGCCAGAAGTTATGGTAACGGCACGAGCACTGGGCAGGTTCCATGGGACAGCAGTGGCCTTCAAGATAGTCACCAAGACCAGCCTCCAAGACGCCTTTCCCACCTGCTTTCACGTCGCTCACAACAAAAGTCAACTCTTCACATTCTTCCCCAAAATAGGATTCCAACGGTGAGTATCCACTGATGTTATTGCCGCTCTTCTTACTCCTTGTACAGTTATTCTAGTCTCTATATTCTTTACTTTCATATTGCTTACTCCAACGTATCCTTTCTGTTGGCTGCTTCGTCCTGTTTTAAACTGTTTTCTATAGTATTTGTGACCAGTATAATCCACCTGCTTATTGAGGTCAGGGGTAATACATTTGATACTTTTCCATTAGAGGAAAACTTTATTTCCGCATGATTGAATGAAGACCTTATAAGCTGTGAACACGAGACCGCATGTGCGCGTAAATTAACCTTATTCCTTTCTCAAGTCGTGTCTATTAGCATTAACCTAGGTTAATATTCTTTATATACATCAAGGCGTTCTCTGATATTAAACCTAACTTCATCACCACACTATATTAATAATAATTAGTATTATTAGTTATTATATTCACAAGAAAGCGGTAAATGCGGCAAGTTTATACAGCGGTGTCAATACTGTGCGAATGAAAATGAAGTTTTAGACCAGCTCACTTCTGCTAACACTGGCAGCCTGCGACAGGAGTGGAGTGGGCTGCCTGAGCGAGCAGCTCTCCTGCACCTGCTGGAACCCTATGAGGCTCACGCTGCAACCTTCGTCATCCACAACCTCATCCCCAGAGAACCCTTCGCCACCGCCATCCACGGAGACCCCCAGCCAACCAACATCTTCTTCAAGTATACTGCTGACGGATACTGTACCATCAAGGTAGGGAAAAAAACACACTTGTTTCTGATCAACGTAAGGCCAGATACACTACTAACAGGTTATTTCTGGTCAAGGTGAGATCAGGTACACTACTGAGATCGTATATGATGAAGTTCAGATACGCAAGTCCACCAAGACTACCCCATGTCGATCTAGACTAGCCACCCATCAGGGAGGTTCCTTGATGCTGGTGAGGGGCTCTTGATCTAGGGAATTGTATCTGTGCTCCAGTTTTCTGAATTGAGCCTCAATGATTGCCAGCCATCCCGTCCCCTACATGCGCTGTATAATCCCTACAAGTTTAGCTCTCCCCATGATGATAATAATAATAATAATAACAATAATAATAATAACAATAATAATAACCAGTCTAGATTAGCCAAACAACGTACATTCCTTTATGTTACAGTTGCAACAAGATCACCTTGTCACAGTTACACCCGTGTGTGTGTGTGTGTGTGTGTGTGTGTGTGTGTGTGTGTGTGTGTGTGTGTGTGTGTGTGTGTGTGTGTGTGAAGAATGTCAACAAGACGTTCAACTACTTCGTCCTTTATGAACCTTATTTATTCGCTTCACTGGAATAGATAACATTGTAACAGATGGAACTGCAACATATAATCCTGTAACAGATAGAACAAGATATAACGCTGTAACAGATATCACCACAACATATAGCAATATATCGGAACACTACAGCAGATATCACTCACCGTCAAGCACAGCGGTGTGGCACAGTTTAATATTTTCTGAGCATGGATGTGCTACCAGCCTTATCAAACACTATAGCGTGAGGAGATCGTATACGCAGTAAGAACCTACTTCTATTTTCCCTTAACAGCTGATCGACTGGGCGCAGGCGAGGTACAGCAAAGGAACCTATGACCTCGTTTACCTGCTTAGTATCGGTGTGGAGCCTGAGGTGCGCCGACAAGTATCCTCGCAGGCCAAGGAGGAGTACTTCAGGGCGTTCAACGATACACTGAAGGACCTCAACGCTGGCCTTACCTACCCGAGGTATCTTTCGCGGATAGCAACTTCTTGATTTGTTTCATTACAATTTTACACCTAAAACTGTTAGACGTTGTAAAGACTTTTGTACAGTTTACCTGGAGTTTACCTGGAGAGAGTTCCGGGGGTCAACGCCCCCGCGGCCCGGTCTGTGACCAGTATGAGTGGAACACAGAAAAAGATTTGTCTCCTTGAGAGTTCAATATGTAACAAGTAATAATAAAGAGTCTGAGAGGAGTCGGCCCAAAAGATAACTTGTTATATTTCAAGAAGGAGTAACTTTAACTTTTACGACTAGCTCGCCATGGGTTCAAACCCCACCCGTTCCTTGGTTTGTTTACAATCGTGTTATTACGATTTCGTGAGCTATGATATCACAGCAAGATATTGTGAAGAGAAACTGGAAAGGTTGGTGTAGGAGTCTGGAAATGGATGTAAAAAAGTAGGAAGTTTAAAACGATTGCGGAAAAGAGAAAGGGACGTATGTAGAGAATGAAAGAAACTGTGGAAATGGAAACTATACGAATACATTTAGATAATTCTGAGTGTATATATCGGCTTACTGGGTTTATGAAGAGTGAGGTTTATAGAAGAATGTATGAGGGAAAAAATATGTACGTGTTTTAAGTCTGTAGAGCAGTTTAAGGGTTGAAAAATGTGGAGAAATGTCTCATGTTATATAAGATAAGATAAGATAAGATTTCGTTCGGATTTTTAACCCCGGAGGGTTAGCCACCCAGGATAACCCAAGAAAGTCAGTGCGTCATCGAGGACTGTCTAACTTATTTCCATTGGGGTCCTTAATCTTGTCCCCCAGGATGCGACCCACACCCAGGTACCTATTTGCTGCTAGGTGAACAGGACAACAGGTGTAAGGAAACGTGTCAAATGTTTCCACCCGCCGGGAATCGAACCCGGGCCCTCCGTGTGTGAAGCGGGAGCTTTAGCCACCAGACCACCGGGTCACCAGCAATATATGTTATACAATACTCACAAGTCAATAAGACACATGTGTAGCAGTTACCTTCATTGATGAAACGTTTCTCCTGCACAGCAGACTTCATCACTCCAACACATGTGATTAACATACTGGAGGCAATAGAAGTATTGTAGTAAATTTGAAGTGATGAGTCCCTCAGCCTTGATAGGTTTTCAGATTGAAGGACTGAAAGCTTCAAAATTATCTCCACACTTCTACTAACTTTAGTATTGTAAACACGTCTGTATCCGACATATGAAGCCTGATATGCAAGCGAAACGTTGTATTAATGCAATTTCCAAATGTTGCGTGTGTGTCTTTATCAAGTACAGAGTCATCACTGCTGGTCACTAAGTTGTTGTACTCTTCATTAATTATGCAATCAACAGTTTCACGTACGTAAATATTTAATTGTGGAGTTTGTAAATTAAAGTTCTTTGAACGTAGGCTAGGGATGTGAGGATCATAACACCACCACTGACAATAATGTCTATGTCCTCTTTCAACTAAACAGACAACGAAACCTGCGATTACGAGAATTTTTCTTTGAGTCACCCTGCTAAAAGTGCCTCTCTCTCTAACAACTGTTTCTGGAATTGAAAGAAAACGAACTTTCACAGCCTAAATATGACTGAGATAAATTTGCCTACTATAATGACTAGTAATTAATAATAAAATCTTCATTTTCTACAAGTACATGTACAAGGTATAAAGGGCTATCTGACATCAGTGACATACTATTATATAGAAAGCCCCTTGTTAGGCAGAGCATTTCGGGCAAATTAGATTAATTTTGTCCCAGGATGCGACCCACACCAGTCGACTAACACCCAGGTACCCATTTTACTAATGGTTGAACGGGGACAACAGGTGTAAAGAAACACGCAAATGTTTTCGCCCTTGCCAGGAATCGAACCCGGACACTCAGCGTGTGAAGTAAATGCGTTGCCAACAAGGCCACGAGCCACCTAAGTTTATTTAGGTACAGATACACATAAATACAGTTACACAAATTATCATACATAGTAACATATGTGTAAATTATCTAGGATAACCCCTAAATATCAGATAAATGTCTTAGTTCAATTAGGGACCCAAGATCAATGATGTGTATTAATAAAGTTTTTTTTAATTCCTAAGAAATAAACATTTTAATGGAGTATCACACAACAGACTGCAGTAAATCATGATGAAAAATATTACCCAGGAGATAAAAAAAAAATAGGTTATATTACGAAAGTTAATTTAGCAAGATCTGAGAGAGAGAGAGAGAGAGAGAGAGAGAGAGAGAGAGAGAGAGAGAGAGAAGAGAGAGAGAGAGAGAGAGAGAGAGAGAGAGAGAGAGGACGTGAGAGTCAGCCAGCCAGTGAGTTAAAGAAATATTCCTTGAGGAAATCGAAACATTTCTACAAAACCGCGAGGAGAGGGAAGGAGAGGAGAAACTAGTATCACAAGAAGACAAGAGTTGGAGCCACTAAATGATCTGAACCCAACGAAAACAATAATACGCGTGTTTATGTACTTACAGGTGTGTGTTTGACAAAGATATGATGCTGAGTGAACAACTGAGTGTGGTGTGGTGTGTGTCCAGCATCAACATACTCTACTCTAGTGCTAGGCTTCAGAGACGACTCTACTGCATCCTTAGCGACATCCTCTACAACCCCAGCATGAAGCCTCTCCAGATGTTTCTACCCAAATCCACCTACTCTTCCACTTGAATTAAAGGCTCCAAATGCGACTCAACACCATCATCCTCCTCCACGCCAAATATTTTACCTTCCTAGTTTCTTCAACAGGTGAGCACTTGATAAGTCCCCAGGTATCACGCACAAACAACTCCGGATGTGGAGGATTCAGAAGATATTCGAGGACTTTAAGTTTTACAACATAACTCTCAAGACAGATGCAACATGTTGGAGGATAATTCATAAAATATTTCAGATATAAGTACATATGTACATGCGAACCTAAGTCTCGAGTACATCTACGTCTGTGGCTACTGAACAAGTCATTATGTACTCTCCTTATGTTATCAGAGATAAGTTTTCTCTCTCTAATAATAAGCATTCAGTACAGTTACAATGTCTTTAGTTTCTTTTTTTTAACCTTTCTTTTTTACTTATATTAATTTAATGTTTAGCAAATGTTAAGATGTGAATCTCGTGTTCGATTTTCTGTGACTTATCACAGTGCTTGGAGTGAAGTTACCTCTTCCCTTTATATTTATAATGATAGCTCTAAGCCTTTCGTGTTGCAATCAACACATCAGCAAGAGCTTGCAATGTTGTAGAAAAGAGGAGGTGGTCAAAGAATATACAATCACAGAGAGTGCCTTTGCTGTGGTTGTTCTGCGTCTCGTATAGCTTGTTAACGAATTCTGCATATACACTTACCTTTTATATCCTACCTCTCTCCCCCCTCCCACCCTTTTCCAAAATTTCTATCCTTACCCATCCTTCTTCCTTACCCATCTCACCAAAGCTCTTGTCTGGACAAGAACAAGAACTATATACATATACATGTATATATATATATATATATATATATATATATAATATATATATATATATATATATATATATATATATATATATATATATATATATATATATATATATGCGTGCGTGTGTGTGTGTGTGTGTGTGTACTCACCTAACTGTGGTTGCAGGGGTCGAGACTCAGAACCTGGCCCCGCCTCTTCACTGATCGCTACTAGGTCCTCTCTCTCCCTGCTCCATGAGCTTTGTCATACCTCGCCTTAAAGCTGTGTATGGTATCTGCCTCCACTACATCACTTGCTACACTATTCCACTTCCTGACAACTCTATGACTGAAGAAATACTTCCTAATATCCCTCTGACTCACCTGAGTCTTCAATTTCCAATTGTGACCCCTTGTTTCTGTATCCCTTCTCTGGAACATCCTGTCTCTGTCCACCCTTTTTATTCAACGCAGTATTTTGTATGCAGTTATCATGTCTCCCCTAACCCTCCTGTCCTCCAGTGTCGTCAGGCCGATTTCCCTTAACTTTACTTTGTAGGACATTCCCCTTAGCTCTGAAACTAGCCTTGTTGCAAACCTTTGCACTTTCTCTGATTTCTTGACGTGCTTGACCAGGTGTGGGTTCCAAACTGGTGCTGCATACTTCGGTATGGGCCTGACATACACGGTGTACAGTGTCTTGAACGATTACTTAGTAAGGTATCGGATCGCTGTTCTCAGGTTTGCCAGGCGCCCATATGCTGCAGAAATTATCTGGTTGATGTGTGCTTCCGGAGATGTGCTCGGTGTTATACTCACCCCAAGATCTTTCTCCTTGAGCAAGACTTGTAGTCTTTGACCTCCTAGCCTATACTCTGTTGCCGAACCACGTGTCCAGCCTGTCCAGGTCACTTTGTAGTCCTGCCTGATCCTCACCTGATTTGATTCTTCTCATTAACTTCACATCGTCTGCAAACTTCTGAGTCTATCCCTTCCGTCATGTCATTCACATATACCAAGAACAGCACTGGTCCTAGGACTGACCCCTGTGGGACCCCGCTCGTCACAAACGCCCACTGTGATACCTCATCACGTACCATGACTTGTTGTTGCCTCCCTGTCAGATATTCTCTGATCCACTGCAGTGTCCCCCTTCCTGTTATATGTGCCTGATCCTCTAGCTTCTGCACTAATCTCCTATGAGGAACTGTGTCGAAGGCCCTCTTGCAGTCCAAAAAAATGCAGTCAACCCACCCCTCTCTCTCGTGTCTTACTTCCGTTACCTTGTCATAAAACTCCAGTAAGTTTGTGACACAGGATTTGCCTTCCATGAATCCGTGCTGGTTGTCATTTATAATCTTGTTCCGTTCCAGGTGCTCTACCACTCTCCGCCTGATAATCTTCTCCATGACTTTGCATCCTATACACGTCAGTGACACTGGTCTATAGTTTAGTGCCTCGTTTCTGTCTCATTTCTTCCATACCTCAGGTAATTGCCCAGTTTCAAGGGATGCGTTGAAGATTGTGGTTAGTGGCACACACAGCATCTCTGCTCCTTATCTAAGGACCCAGGGGAGATGTTGTCCGGTGCCATCGCCTTTGAGGTATCAAGGTCATTTAGCAGCTTCACCTCCTCCTTGGTTGTGTGTATGTCATCCATCACTTGTTGGTATAGTCCCTGTTGGTGTCCCCCCCTCTGTGCTATCTTCCCAGAGTCCTTCCTGTCTCCTCTGTAAATACTTCCTTAACTCACGTGTTGAGCTCTTCACATACCTCTTGATCGTTTCTTGCGAGTTCCCCACCTTCTTTCCTCAGACTTGACTTTCGATGCTATGCTGTTTTCGTACTGTCGCTGGGCCTCCCTCCTTATCTATGTATACTCGTTTCTGGCTCTTCGACTAATCTTATTTTCCTGGGTCCTTTGCCTTCTGTACTTTTTTCTATTCTCCAGTGCACTTAGTTTTTGCCTCCCTTCACCTTCGGGTAAACCAGGGGCTCGTTCTGGTCTTTCCATTATTTCTGTTGCCCTTGGGAACAAACCTTTCCTCTGCCTTCTTGCATTTTGTTGTTACGTATTCCATCATTTACTGTCTTTCCTACCAATTCTCTGTCTCACTGAACCTCCTTCAGGAGGTTCCTCATACCTGTGTAGTCCCCCTTTTTATAGTCTGACTTTTCCCAATCAGCTCCTGTTACTCTCTCCACTTGTAACTCTAATATGTATTCAAAGCTCAGAACCACGTGATCACTAGCTCCAAGGGGCCTCTCATATGTGATGTCCTCAATGTCTGAACTGCTCAGGGTGAACACGAGGTCCAGCTTTGCTGGTTCATCCTCCCCTCTCTGGTAGTGTACTCACCTAGTTGTGGTTGCAAGGGTCGACTTATAGCTTCTGGCCCCGCCTCTTCACTGGCCGCTACTGGGTCACTCTCCCTGCACTATGAGCTTTATCATACCTGTGTGTGTGTGTGTGTGTGTGTGTGTGTGTGTGTGTGTGTGTGTGTGTGTGTGTGTGTGTGTGTGTGTGTGTGTGTGTGTGTGTGTGTGTGTGTATATGTGTGTGTGTGTGGTGTGTGTGTGTGTGTGTGTGGTTGTGTGTGTGTGTGTGTGTGTGTGTGTGTGTTGTGTGTGTGCGCGCGTGTGTGTGTGTGTGTGTGGTGCAAAATCATTAATTTTTATACTAACATATATGAAAAATATCTTTAAATGTATAAGAGAAAATTTTAGAAAGGAATTAATTTTAAAAGAGTTGTTGCTAATTGACCAAGTTTATATATAAATTTAAATTTATTTAACACTACTCGAAACCAATTATATATAGTAGTACATATTTTTTCGTTATGTTCAAATTGATTTCAGCAGATTTATGGCAAGAACATTAACAGTTGTCAAGTTATATATTTTATAAAGTACATGGAACTTTATCTGCATAAAATTGTTGAGTGAATATGTGCTAGATTAAACAATAGAAATAAAGCGTTGATTTCAGTTTGAATGTCAGGTTTTTAGACAGACAAAATCATTGTAGTAACAACAGCGCCTTTGTTAGGTTTCCAAAATTTTATTTATCAAATCTACAAAAGGAAATAATGAAAAAATGAAAATAATTTAACAAACTATAAGATACTAACGTGTAAACTAATCTTGGATCTTTTAACATATCGAACATATGCGAAATGCAACAATAAAAATGTATTATAATTCAATTCTGAACTGAAAAGTAGAATTATTAATAAAAGTTCTGTAGACATCTCGTACACGCTTAGTGATGGTCAGAGTAGCAGTCAGCAGCAACTTACTGTAAACAGAGGCTCACTGCCAGCAGACGCTCATTGTGAACAGAGGCTCACTGCGAGCAGACGCTCATTGTAAACAGAGGCTCACTGCGAGCAGACGTTCATTGTGAACAGAGGCTCACTGCGAGCAGACGCTCATTGTAAACAGAGGCTCACTGCGAGCAGACGCTCATTGTGAACAGAGGCTCACTGCGAGCAGATGCTCATTGTGAACAGAGGCTCACTGTGAGCAGACGCTCATTGTGAACAGAGGCTCACTGCGAGCAGATGCTCATTGTAAACAGAGGCTCACTGCGAGCAGACGCTCATTGTAAACAGAGGCTCACTGTAAACAGAGGCTCACTGTAAACAGAGGCTCACTAAACAGAGGCTCACTGCGAGCAGACGCTCATTGTAAACAGAGGCTCACTGTAAACAGAGGCTCAATGTAAACAGAGGGTCACTGCGAGCAGAAGCTCATTGTAAACAAAGGCTCACTGTAAACAGAGGGTCTGGACACAACCCTGGCCATACTGTCAGAGCATGTGTCCAGTACATAATCACTAACCCTCACGAAGTCATAACAAGATTGACAGATCCCTAATTGCTCAAACTAGTGGTTTTGACAGTGACCGACTTGATCTATAGGAAAGGCATTGGTCCTCACAACCCCTGATTGTTCTGCCCTACCTACGTTGCACTATAGCAAATACATTTAAGTACACAGACAAAGACTGAAGATCAACAGGAGACTGTCCTTATATTTGTGTAACCTTTATGTGCTGTTTACGAGCTTAAATACCAAATGTAACGAAATTCGAGCGTAAAAGTTATTCTCTGGCCTAATATATTTCTCAATGCATAATTACATGGACCTTGGTAAACAATCGAAAACTAAATGATAGCTTTATCAACTGTAACATTCTTAATAGGACATTAAGTATTCTGTTAAGTGTTTACTTAATAAATCTCAAGGGAAATCCACTAAACCCAAGACTTTTAAAATTAATATTTTCAACCTTGAACAGATATTAAAATCTCTGGTAATTCAAAGCAAAATAATTGTTTATGTTTAAAACACTTCAATATGTCAAGATCAAGAGTTAATGATCACAAACAGTTTACAATATTTACTGGGTTTCTTTTCAAATTGTATTTAAATTTGCTCCATTTTGTAAATCTGCTGAGGACAATTGATAGTTAAAGCAAAATGCATTTTATATATAATATATATATAATATAATATAATATATATATAATATATATATATATATATATATATATATATATTATTTTCTTTTTATTATCA